TGGTTTTTCTTTTCTTTTTTTTTTTTTTTCCCTTTGTTGTCTAAGGGGACAAAGAAAAAAAAAAGGACTTGACTTCCATGACGCCGTCGACTTTGGCTGCTGGCTGGCCGGACCGGCGCGGGTGAGGAGTTGCAAACCCAGACCGACATGCATTTTGGGACAATTGCTTTTTAAAACATTTCTATGCCAAAACAAAACAAAACAAAAACCTTCATTGTGAATTCGGAACCATGCCAGATGAACCAAGTAAATGTGTGTGGGGTTTGAGCTGTGCCGAGATCCAAGTGGAGAAACTCCCGCTGGCTGGGGCTACACTTCAGAGGGGAGGACAAGGTTCAGTGTGACCCGAATAAACTGAAGCCGGGGCACCTTCCAGAACCGTGGAAGGACAGGGCTAGCCCTCAGTAGCTGCAGGGAACTTCAGCGTATTTATTTGTAATGAGGACTTTTTAAATGTTTTTTTTTTAAATGGGTAAAATTATAGTCTGGAAGACTAAAAGGGCTTGCAGTTGAAATGCTTGAGGGGCACTTTGCAACTTCCCGAAAGCATTCAGCAGCTGTTGGTGGCAAAGGCTTGTCTGGAGCGCCGAACACATTTTCTTCACGTGAGCTGCTCAGAGTGGGTCTCTGAGGTCATCCGCCAGGCTACTTCTCGTTGTCAGATGGCAAACGCCTCAGGGGGGGAGCCCACACGTTCATGTACATTACATGGCTTAAGACTCAACAGATGTTCCCAAAGTCTCTCACTAGCCTGGACTCGGGAGGAATTCAGAAGTCCCAGAGCGGAGCTCCCGGGATCTGTCACAGCTTCCACCGCGATGGGGACTGAGCGCCCACGACACCGGGGCCTGTATATTAGCAGCTTTGCTTGCCTGCTTTTACCTGTGCATTCTAGAGGCTGTAAGGTTTCTTTCCTCTTAAATTCTGTCTGATTGATAGCATCAATGAAACACCACCTTCCTCGTGGGCCACTTCCCTGTGGGCAATACCGTCACTCAGCTTAGGTGCCAATGGCGATCCTTAGGAGCAAAGCTTTGGTGGGACCCACACAGTGATATCAGGGTGCCATTGTAGAGAAAAGCAACAAAACCCAGGACGTTCCTCAGGGCAAAAGACCTTCTTGTTTTGTTTTGTTTTTCATAGCCAGGGGCCTAGAGAGCAAATGTGGACCTTTTTTTTTTGACTTCCAACCACTATTGGAACTTGGGTAGAGGTGTGAGTACCCAGGGCCACAGAGGAAAACATGAAGTTCAAGACTTCCAGACTCGGCTTTCCAGGGCTTTGGAATGACCTGATCATGACTGTCTTGTCAGGAACGGAGTTCAGAAGGCTGTTCTGTAGTCTCTTGTCTGGCGAGCCTCCATGTAGGGTCTTCCTGCAGAGACGGGCGTGAGGCCTGTTCCCCAGCGCCTGGCTGCATGCAGAGTCCGGGCGCTCCTGGCTTCCATAGGGTTTCTTAAGGCTCCTGACTGCATTTTAGCCAGACTTTTCCCTGCTGTCCCCTAAGCAATTAGAATTAGGGCAAAGACGCCAGTGTGTGTGTGGGTCCCCTCACCTGCCTGCATTGTCTCTGTGACCAAGGACTTCCGGTCACTCTTCCCTCTTAAACCGAAGCAGAAATAACCCAGTAGCTCTAGCCCTTCTGGCCACAGATGGGGTTTTGGCTAGTTCGCAATAAGCACCTTGTGGTGGTTGAAGCCAACAGGTCCCGAGGCTGAGCCCCAGTCCGTCCGCCTGGCCCCTGGCCCGCCTGAGGAGGGCAGGCATTGCGCCGGAACTCTGCAGAACTCTTCTTCTGTTTACACAGCTCTACCGGGCAATGCCCTTCCTCCCCACCACGGAACTTTCCAGCCAAGATGTCTGAAGTGGGTTGCCAAACCATCAGGTAGCACCTCGGGGGGCGGGGTTGAGAGGTCCACATGGGTGACTTTTTTTTTTTTTCTTAAACCATGAAACACCAAAGAAAGCTGTGGAAAGGAGCAACCCCCTCTCTCCCATCCCGCCCGGCTGCCGTGGAAAGTGTGAGAGGTCCGGCCAAGACCGGGGCATTAGAGCACAAACAGTTTTCAAAAGCATCCTCAGGCCGGCTGGCTCGGCAGCGTCTCTGTGCGGGCCAACAGGATGCCCACAGTCCCTTCCTGCTGGCTCATCCACAATTAACTAAGGGCAGCCTCGGCCTCGCCTTGAAGGAAGCACAAGCCCTGCCCTCTTTTCCTCTGTCTTTTCTGCCTCCTCCCGAACATCCCACAGGCTACCGGTGGTCCCCAGGCACCTCACAGAGCCCCTCATTGTCACTTGGGGCTCCAGAGGCCACCCACTACTGGTCTGGCCTTTCCCGTGGGACAGAGCTCCTGTCCCTGGACCTTCCTAGAATTAGGAGAACCTCTGTACAGGTTGACACCAGGTTACGCCCGCAGCCCTCGTCCGTCTTCCCGAGGGCATGCTTCACATTGCCAGTACAGAACCAGAACCTCCATTTGCTCCCAAGGTGCTAGGGAAGATTGCCGGTTCCCCTCCTCTCCAGCCCCGTGGGCCCAGTTTCGTGGGACTTTGGACTTTTCTATTTGGTGACCGATGCCCTCTGCTTCTGTCTTATTGCCCCTCATCCTCTCTACTATGCATTTTCCTTTTATCGGGTGTACAGAGTTAAATACTGTGTATTTATCACTTACGAGTCCGTGAACCGAAGAGCAAAAGATAAGCTTGCGGTTGCTTTCTTTCCCACAGGTGGATAAGCTTCTCTGTAAACTTGAAATAAACAGACAGCAAAAATGGTGCAAAGCCTGGGCCTCTTGGGGGTTCTTCCGTCTGTCGGTCCGTCCATCCATCCGTCCGTCTGTAGCCGTTCTTTTGTGATGTTTCTGCTTACGTTGGTCATCCTTCCCTTAGGCTGACAGCGAGTCAGATGCCTGAGTCACAGTTAATGCAGCTGGCAGATCCCCTGAAGTCGGCCATGTCCTACAGTGTCACTACTCAGCGTGATTCTGAGACCAGCTGTACGCACAGTTCTTGGAAGCAGGGCAGAATGCATATTCCAGGGCCCCATGTAAACTCCCAGGTGAGCCTCTGGGAGGTCCAAGTCTGCAGGTGAGGGTAGGATTCTGCGAGGTTGGACAGATGAGCAGCTATATGAGACATGTCCTGTGGCTAGGCATTGTTTTCTTGGCTTTGAACTTCCCTTTGAAAAAGTCCCATCCCGTGCTACAGAAATACGGGCTGTCATCCCCATCCTCAGGAGGCCGAGGGCAGGAGAATTCCAAGTTCAAGGCCAGTCTGGGCTGCATAGTGAGAGTCTATCTAAAAGTAAGGCATAAAGGCTCTTGAGTCAAGAGGAGGTTCCTATTAAAATAAAAAAAAAAAAGCCACTGAGAATCTGAGGCTGTGGGAAGGCCGTTCTTCAGGGTTCGTCACTATGCAGATTTCAGGGAGTCCTGGAAGCCCACTCATGCGTGTAAGGTGGAAGGATCCTGTTCCCAGCTCCCACTGAAGAGGTAGCGCCAGGGTGTGCCAGTGAGAAGAGATGCAGCTGAATGCAGGATGACGCAGGTGAGTGGAGGAGTGTCCCAAACATCCACCCTCACACCCTAACCTGAGGAGGGAGCGTCACTGCGTAGCCTTTGGGATAGTGAACACAAACATTTGTTTTAGTCTGAGTGTGTTGCTGGAGCAGAGCGCCCCCCCAAACTGCCTAATTTGCAAATAGAAATGCCCCAAATTTCCGGAGGCAGGGAAGTCCACGATCACCATTCTAGCAGATTCTGGGTCTGGTGAGGACCTGATCTACCAGGATGGTGTTCAGAACATGGGGAGAGCACCAAGATGTGAATCCCTCTGCCAAGCCCTTTTGATGAGGGACTTCATCCCATCCATGATGGAAGGTGTGCTCCAGGAGGCTCTGCCTCCTCATCCTCACGTCAGGGATCCAGTTTCTAAAACATGAATTTGAGGGGACATACTCTAACCATGTCACCATCCCTAAACCTTCCAGTTCCGTCTGATCTGTGTTTAAGTAGCACCTAAGAAATCATTCTTACGTGTGTCTCTATATGCACATGTCATGTGACTGCCTGTAAAGGAGAGAGGCTGATGTCAGCTCCTCCAGAGCTGGAGTTATAATCAGCTGTGACCTTCCCGATGTGGGTGCTGGAAGCTGAACTCAGGTCCTCCGAAAGAGCAGCAAAGGCTTTTAACCACCCAGCCATCTCCAGCCCTGATGTGAGCACTTAAAAAAAAAAGCCACACAAACCAGAGTTTTGTGAAAACCATTTCATAAATCTTATTTCTACCCCCTCTCCAAAGCAAAAACCCAGGTTGGCCATTTATGCAGGAGAAATAGAACGTTCCTAACCTGTCATACCCCTGAGTACTTGGAAGTGAGTTGATTAGTGGCAAAGGGGAGGGACGAGCCACTTTTCACAGTACAGGAGGGGGCCAGTGTGATGCTGTGAAAGCTGCGGGTCTGGAAATAGCCCCACTTTGTACCCGTAGGAAGACAGATGGACGCAGCTCTGCTTCAAGGTGCGAGTTTAGAAACTAATGAGGAGGGGGAGGGTAAGTCACGTCCCGGAAATTGTGTTCCCTACAGAACAGTAGTCATTTTATGATGATAGTAGCCGTTTCATGTGAACATATCAGCTATGGAAAAAATACGTAACACAACCTAAGGAGTTGTGTCAATGAGTTAATCACAGTGCTTAGGCAAAAGCAAGGCCTGGAGTTGTAGCTCTGTGAGGGGTAGAACACAAGACCCAGAGGCTAGTTCCTAGCACCGCAAAAAAAAAAAAAAAATCCCAAAACTTGCCAGAAGCAAGCTGAGCCCTCTCCTGAGCGCGGCAGCTGGCCACTGTGCAGACTGTCCCAGTCAGAGGCCCAGGGGGCCTCTCCAAAGAAGAGTGTTTATTCAGAGATGGTGGAGGGCACAGTGCAGGGTGTGAGTGCTCTGTGGGCCAGGGCAGGATAGAGGTGGCGTGTGTGGGGACAGGCAAGAAGGCTGAGGTCAGGGCTGTTGTGACGCGCACGCGCTTTGATCCCAGGTCTGCCATGGGCGGCGACCAAAGGGTGATTAGGACCTCTGGCTGCTCCCGGAGGTGACCTTTGCTGCAAGGTTGTGCTTAGGCATGAGCTTATTAGCGGGCAGCTACCACATGAGGACCTCCCACCCCAGCCCGACCCCTTCTCGTTTGGGGGCTCCATTTGGATGTTGACAACTTTCATAAATGTGAGCTCCAGCTCACATGCTGAGAGACCGCACGGACAAGGATTTAAAAAGCCATTTCTTTTAATGGTTGGTCCTCGGTCCTTTCAACATAGCCCTTCTGAAAGGGAAAGCCAGTTCTGTCTTGGTTACCAGGGACAAAGTCTCTAGGTCCAGGGAAGAGGGACAGTGCCCCAGGCCCGCTGGCAGGCATCTGGAGAACTCCTTTATAAAGTGCGTGGACAGAGCTGCTGGGCCCGTCCTGAGGGTCTAGAGACCGGGACTTCCAAGGGAGCCAGTCCTGGAGACCCTGGAGACCCTGGAGAAGACGGCGGTCCCACAGGCCACAGCGGTGTCTCTGTTCTCAGACTGTCACATCACCTCAGTAGGCTCACACCGTATAACACGACAGGTGACCCGGCCAACACCACACCAGGAACCCACCGTGTGCGGCGAGCAAATGCACTCCTCACAAAAGGCGAGGTTAAAGGCTGTCTAGCGAGGAGGAATGTCTTGAGTTTGATGCCAGCCTGAGCTACACAGAGTGGAAGTCTGTACAATGTAAAAGGTTTAAAAAAAAAAAATGCCCAAACCCGGAAGGAGACGAGTGCTGTGGTGTTCCTCCGTCATCCCAGCACTTCTGGGGACGGAAGCAAGAAGATTCTGGGACTGAAGCCCAGCTGAGCACGACCAAGGCTGAGAAACGACAAAACTGCTGGGCGCACGCCTTTAATCCCAGCACTCGGGAGGCAGAGCCAGGCGGATCTCTGTGAGTTCGAGGCCAGCCTGGTCTACAGGGCGAGATCCAGGACGGGCATCAAAACTACACAGAGAAACCCTGTCTCGAAAAACCAAAAAAAAAAAGAAAGAAAGACAAAACTAAAACAAGACCCACTGGGCAACCCTGAGTGTTTGTGGAGTGGAGGAAACGGAATGAAACTCTGGGACTTTCTCTAGAGAGACGCGGCCGCCATTTCTCCCTTCTCACGGCTTCGGTGAGGGTGCTGTGGGCTTGAAGTGTAGGGTCAGGCATCAGTGGTCCATCTCACCGGCGAGACCCTGCAAAGGAGGGGTAAACATGTAGCCAGCCAGTGTGTGTTGCCACCACGAGTGACCCAGCCACCCAGGGCAGGAGGAGATCGGCGCTTCTCCTGAGGGTTTCTTAACAATGCAGACAGACGCCTCAAGTTGGTTCTGGAGGGGTCTCACGGTATGGCACAAAACCCTCATTCCGCAAGATTCTGTAAGTACCACGTGGGTGTAGGTACTGGCCTGCTATCTTATCACAATCAAGGTTTGACTGATTAAAATAAAGCTGGGCTAGCCAGGTGTTGGTGGTGCACGCCTCTAATCCCAGCCCTCAGGAGGCAGAGGCAGGTGGATCTCTCCGAGTTCGAGGCCAGCCTGGTCTACGGAGCGAGTTCCAAGACATCCAGGGCTATACAGAGAAACCCTGTCTTGAAAAACAAAAATAGGGGCTGGAGAGGTGGCTCGCGGTTAGGAGCACTTAGCTGCTCTTCTGGAGGTCCTGCGTTCCATTCCCAGCACCCACATGGTGGCTCACAACCATCTGTAGTGAGATCCGGCGCCCCCTTCTGGCCTGCAGACACACATGCAGGCAGAACACAGTATACGTAATAAATAAATAAATAAATCTTAAAAAAAAACAAAAAACAAAAAAAAGCTGGGTTTTAAAGAGGGAGTCCGTCTGAAGAAAAGTTGGAAATCAATGCTGCCACGGGTGGTCGGCTGACAGGTGACAACCTTTGTGGAGGGGCCTTGCCTGGTGTTCTCCACTGGGACAAGAGACGAGACAAGGTGCGCGGACTTCTCGCCTGCGGGGCGCACAGCTGCCTACCTGCTCGTAGTCTTCCACATACTTGTATTTCTTGTCCCGGTAGTAGTATCTTTTCTTCATGCAGTAGAGGACTATGACGTCACAGAGCACAGTCGCCTGGTGTAGCACAGAACGAACCGGGATGCTGTGAGCTGCTGCGTTGTGCAGACCCCCTTCCTTTGGAACCCAATCTACCGAGGAGGAAAGGCACCTCCCTGCCTCTGAATCAGACCGCACCCCGAGCCTCTAAGGGGCTTGGTCTCAAGAGGTGGGATGCCTAGGGCTTCCTTCCCTCGCCCCTAGACGCATCCAGCCTAGAGACAAGTTTGAGGCCCCGGGGAAGGACAGCGCTCACTAAGATCGGCTTGCTAGCGGGAAAGGTCCAGTTCCCAAAAGGAACACCTTGCCACTCACCACCCCTAACAGCGCCAAGCCGGAGCCAACGTTGATCATGGTAGGGATGATGTCAAACTTCCCAGCCTGTGTCAGATCGGAAGAGAAAAGACATTCTGATGGGGGAAAGCAGAAAACAGGACGTTGGGAGGGCTCCCTCTCCCAGGGAGGTTCAACGGAGGGCCAACCTTTCCAAACACAATGATGTCAAAGCGGATGCCATATGCCTTGATGAGCGTACGCTGCTCGTTGCCAGTGAGGTCCCTGTAGTACTTGGCAAACCTGAAGGAGAAGGGGGCGGGTTAGGGAATTAGTGCAGATTCGGGATGCCAGGAGAAAGCTGCTAGGGAGGGACCCGAGTCCCCGGGCACAGCTGGTCTTGGCTAATGAGTTGCTCTGTGGGCTTAGCAGACACTCAGCACCCCAGGTCAGCCTCCCAGCTCATGTGAGGCAAGGTGGCAGGAGGGGCCAGGACCCCTCCTGGGGGAACAGAGTGACTGTCATCACCATCTCCCACAGGATGGCAGACGCCTCTCGCTCTGAATGGCCTTCCTGATACAGCCAAGACACCTGCCTCCCTCCAGGGGACCCTGGCTGCCAACAGAGAACTTGGGAGCTAGCAGGGATCCGCAAGGCTGCAATGAAGGCTGGGGGCCAAGCCAGCCACGGCATTCGCCTCAGCCAGGGAGCTTGGCTGCAGGTGGGATATGACACGCCTCAGTGGTTCTTCCTGCCCACCATCTGCTTTTTTTTTTGTTGCTGTTATTGTTGTTTATATGGCTGGGTTGAGATAATACAATTGAGCTGAAATACAACCACACTGCTCACCCACCAAACTACAGAATTCAAGCCAGGGAGTCTGCAATCCCAGAGCTCCAGAAATTTAAAAGGTCAATCAGTTGTTCTTAGGTATACAGCCAGTCGATTTTAGAGTGTCAGCACCTCCAAAGGAAACCCTGCCTTTATCACTGTTCTACCAGACCCCGGCCTTAGCAATTCTACTGGGATCTTAAGCCTGGGACGTATCTGGTCCACAATTTCTATGCGGCAATGGTCTCAATAAGAACTGTGCAGTATGCCGGGCGGTGGTGGTGAACGCCTGTAATCCCAGCACTCGGGAGGCAGAGGCAGGAGGATCTCTGTGAGTTCGAGGCCAGCCTCGTCTACAGAGCTAGTCCAGGACAGGCTCCAAAGCTACAGAGAAACCCTCTCTCGAAAAACAAAAAACAAACAAAGAACTGTGCAGTAATAGAAACGAAACAATAGAAATCTGATTCCCAGGGGAGCGTTCAAATACCTGCCTAGTCTCAGTAAGCATTAACAACCCAACACAAATTTGATACCACAAATTACCACTAGAGGGAGTCGAGGGCAACTTTTTAAAGACCCACCCAGCAAAAGCACTTTTAATGTACACAGGATTTTGCTGCTTTAAGAAAATGGCAAAGGAGTTTCCAGGCCTCTCGTCAGATTCCCAGGTATCCTGGATTTAATGGTGCCCCCTCCCTAAGCTCATGTCCACCTCGGGCCTGCAAATGTGACGTTATTTGGAAATAAGGCTTTGCAGATGTACTTTAAAATGAGGTCATATGGGATTAAGGTCCTCCCTAAATCTAATGTTCAAGAGGAGGAGGAGAAACCGGGTCAGGTGTGGTGATGCGTGCCTTTAAACCCAACCCTCAAGAGGCTAAGGCAGCCCTATTTCTGGAGGTTGAGACCGGCCTGGTCTACACAGCAAGTTCCCAGCCTGTCTTAAAAAAAAAAAAAAAAAAGAGAAGGTGGATGTGATGGTGCACACCTCTAATCCCAGCACTTGGGGTCTGGCAGGGGGGGTCAGGAGTTCCGGATCACCCTCAGCTGCACAGAGAAGAGAGATGCAGAGGGGAGAAAACCATATGACCACAGAGGTGCTGGCACACGTACAAGCTCAGGATTGCTGGGAGCCACCGAATGCTTGGAGAGGCCAAGACGAATCCGGCCACGGAGCTTGCGGCAGCGCGACCTGGCAGACACCCCGATGTTAGACTTCTGGTTTCAGGACTACCCAAGGATAAAATTCTCCTTTTGAACCGTTCCGTTTTGTTAACCAGAGCCCAGGGAGGCCGAGATACCAGCATTTTCAGATCTGAGTGTGGCCCTTTCTTTTATTTTATTGAGACAGGCTCTCGAGATGCAGCTCAAATTTGTGCTTCTCCGGCTGTGGTCCCCCAGGTTCTGGGATTACAGATGTGTGTCACTCCGCCTGACTTGATCACGGGCCTCTCTTGAGTCTTTACCCCTGTAACCTCTGGGTGCTGGGGCAGGATCAATTGCTGAAAAACCAATTCCTGGACCAGATCCCATTGGCCTTGAACAGAGTCCACAAGCTCATTCGTTCCTCCCAATAGTGAGCAGGGATGTGGCAGAAGATGACCCACGGGAGCCTAAGCTACCAGCGTCTCTCCTCTACCCTGCAAACCTCAGCACAATATAAAAAAAAAAAAAACCAACAGATTTTATTTTTCTTTTATGAGTATGAGTGTTTTGCCTACATGTAAGCGCACCATGTACATGCAGTGCCCAAGGAAGCCAGAAGAGGGTGTTGGATGCCTTGGATCGAGAGTTATGGACAGTTGCAAACTGCCAGGTATGTGCTGGGAATCAAACCCTGGTCCTCCGCAAGAGCAACAAATGCTCTTAACTGCTCAGCACTTGTAGCATGACAGAGGAGAGCTCTTGTGGGCCTGGAATCACATGAGCAAGGCCCTGCTGGGAGTATCCTCCCAGGTGCCGGGCCTTCTTGCCTCGAACCGGTGATACACAGCCTGGCCCATGGGCACTGGTCTTTTGGAGGGGTTGGGGGAGATATGAATAACCCCATAGGTATCTCCAATCACCAACCCCACCCCACCCCCACGACATGTGAGTGGCAGGGCCCAGGCTCACATACCTGAAATTGTAGCCAGGAGACACATTGTGTTCCAGGTCCCGGGTGTCGAGGCGCCGGAAGGAATATCTGGGCAGGCAGAGGGAGGCGGCTCTGTCAAGGTTACAGTCCCACTTGATCTGGATGCCCATGATGCCTCCCTGTGGGGAAGCAAGAGAGACCCAGCCAGGCTTTTCAGAACTCGGGTCCCTGCTGAGGCCAAGGAGGTGTGAGAAAAACCATCAGGCATCTACCTCCACCGCCATCTCCTGGAAGCTGTGCCCGGCGTCCTCCACAATCCTGCCGAGACGGAATATGGGGCAGAAGGGATCCGTCCGAGCATCATAAACGCACGATTTGAGATAGGAAGTGGTGACGTTGGGGAGGATGTTCCTCCTGAAGTCAGGGAGGAAGCACAAAGTCTGAGCGAGGGGGACCTCGGGGAGAGCCGGAAGTTCTTTAAGAGGCTTGTGAACGCGCATGCCTGGGCCCCCACTTACTTGCTGAAATTAAACTTGGGGTACCAGATGTTGTTCTTTACCAAGAGGGTGAAGTTCTCCGCGGACTTTAAAAAAGCTGGCCTGGAAGAGAAATTAACGGTTACTAAACACACACACACACACACACACACACACACACACACACACACACACACACACACGGCTCTGCAGCCTTTGTAACCGTTTCTCGTGTCTCTCTCGAGGAGAAAGGGGAGCATCTGGCATTTTCTTTTTTCTTTTTTTTTAAAGATTTATTTATTCATTATGTATACCGTGATCTGCCTGCATGTATGCCTGCAGAACAGAAGAGGGCAACCAGATCTCATTACAGATGGTTGTGAGCCACCATGTGGGTGCTGGGAATTGAACTCAGGACTTCTGGAAGAACAGCCAGTGCTCTTAACCTCTGAGCCATCTCTCTCCAGCCCCTCATCTGGCATTTCCTACTCCCTTCTGTATAACACTAGGTCACCAGGCCTTCTAATCTTTCCTCAGAAAAGGCGGGGCTTCCTGCCCCAAGCACCAGGCAGTGAAGAACCTGAGCGTTGGCTGAGGCGGATGCTGGCTGTGGCCGCCATGATTCCTTAGCCATCTGCTGGCCTCAGGTTTGCCTTTTTGGGTGTTCATAGAGAATGGACCCATAGATGTGGTTTGTACGTCAGAGCACAGGGGCGTTCGCCTGCAGGTACATCCTGGCCTGGCTACACAGAGAAACCCTGTCACAAAAAACCACACCCAAAAAAATTAATTGATTAACTACTTGGGTTTTTTAATTAATTTTATATACATTGGTATTTTGCCTGCAGGTATGTCTGGGTGAGTGTGTCAGGTCCCCTGGAACTGGAGTTACAGACAGATGTGAGCCGCTATGTGGGTGCTGGGAATTGAACCTGGGTCCTCTGGTCGAGCAATCAGTGCTCTTCACCACTGAACCATCTCTCTATCCCTTTAATTTTTCCTTTTTTTTTTTGAGGCAAGGTTTCTCTGTGTAGCCCTGGCTGTCCTGGAATTCACTATGTAGACCAGGCTGGCCTCGAACTCACAGAGATCCACCTGCCTCTGCCTCCCGAGTGCTGGGATTAAAGGATGCGCCACCACCGCCCGGCTGCTTAGTCTTCTTTGTTTGTGGGACATGAAATATACTGATTGTGTGTGTGTGTTGGGGGTGGGTGTGCGTGTGCATGGTACTGTAGCCACCAAAGGCCAGGTACGATAGCTTATGCTGGTACCTCCCGATACTCAGAAAGCTGAAGCAGGAGGCCGGGAGGCCAGGGCTGGTGCCAGGGCTTTAGTGGGTCAAGGCACTTGCTGTAATACCTGAGGATTTGAGTCCCATTCCTGGGTCCCAAACAGAAAGAGAGAGCTGACTCACAAGTCGTTTTCCAAGATTCACGTGTGCCGTGGCACACTTACACACACACACACACACCAATGTAATTAAAAATCACTTAACAACAACAACAAAAAGAGTTTGGAAGAGCATTAACTTAATGTGCCAAAAGTTATCAGAGGCAAGAATAACTAAATAGAACCTGCCAGAATGATTGTCAATGAACTTTTGGAAACGCTTAAACTTCGGTGCTCCTCATGAAACCGAGGGAAGAAAATGAACATAGAGATATGGAATTAAGTGAAAACAAAAAACAAAAATAGTTCGGAGCCATCCCTGGCCACATAATGAGTCTCTTTCGAGGAAATCAAGACCAAAACCCAAGAACCGTTTCCTGTTGGTTACATGCAACAGACAGTGCTCCGGCACCCATAAGTCACCTGACCCTTATCACAAGTGGCAACCCCTTGTGGTCTCCTTGCCCTGTGGCTGACAACCACTCTGCCAGGGTGCAGTGGCCCCACTCATTGACCAAGAGCGCACCAAAACATCCCAGCACCCGAGCTCACCTCACCCTCTCTGTCACCTCCCTCCAGGCTGAAAACCAAGGCTAGGGGACCGTGGGTAGGACTCACGTTGGCACGCCAGCGTCATTCTCCAATGGGCACCAAGCCGCCACCTCGCAGGTCTTCACGGACTCATTGAATGGTACACATTTTCCGGTCCCGATCCCTGGGAAGAGAGAATAGGTCCAGATCCATGAGGGGCTCGTCGCCAATCTTTTGCCTTTGCATAGTACCGTATGAGAGCCCTGAGGAGCCTGGGCAGCCTGTCTTTCGTAAATTATGGGATATAGACGGTGTCTAGAGGATGGAGGTAGAACAGGAAGGCTGCCTCAGAGTAGGCCACGTATCTGCCAACGTGATACTAAGTCACAGGGAGGGGCGACCTCTGAGGTGTCTGCCGCCGCAACACAGGTGAATGCTAAGAGGGTCTCGGTTCTGCTATTATATGAGGTTCCCCTAGGTTCATGTAGCATTGGGACGGGGGGGGGGGGCCGGGGGCTGTCTTCTCTGATGATGGACTAGAACTGAACCCAGGTTCATCCAAGCCAAGCTTGTGTTCTACCATCGAGCAGTAGCCCAGGTTGTGGTGGGGAGGGGAGGCGGGAGGCAGATTTTTCTTTCTTTCTTTCTTTCTTTTTTTTTTTTTTTTTTGGCTTTTCGAGACAGGGTTTCTCTGTGTAGCTTTGCACCTTTCCTGGAACTCACTTGGTAGCCCAGGCTGGCCTCGAACTCACAGAGATCCACCTGCCTCTGCCTCCCGAGTGCTGGGATTAAAGGCGTGCACCACCAACGCCCGGCAGATTTTTATTTCTGCAATGTCTCTATCTCAGACGCACCACAGGAAGTGTGATGTCACCAGAAGCCACTTTCCCCAGGCTCAGCGCCGCCCCGCTGAGAGGTCCCCAGCTGCTCAGTCACTCCCGCCTACCATTGCTGTGGGTGCCTGCTGAGCCAACGGTACAGTCCGAGTCCGAGTTACAAACGGTGGTCTGATCGGGAATCTGGAAAAGGAATGAATAGAAACCCGTTCCATGGGGTCTAGTCCCCTCCCAGTCCCTCCCCCCCCCACAGTTTTCCAGGAGCGGATGTGAGTGTAAAGCCTGGGGGGCTTCCCCACCTACTTCTGGACAGGTGCTCTGCGTCTGGTTCACAGTGATGATCATGTTGGTCATGATGAAGAGCGAGTTTTCCTCCTGCGGAGGGGAGAGAACCCTGTTGAGTCACCCTCAGAAGAGGTGAGTGGGGCCGCAGAGAAAGCCAGATGGGGCTGGAGAGACGGCTCAGTGGTGGAGAGAACTGGCTGTTCTTCCAGAGGACCTGGGTTCAGTTCCCAGCACCTACATGGTTGGTGACAATCATCTGCAACACCAGTTCCAGGGGATCTGATGCCCTCTTCTGACGACTGCTGGTACTGCATGCATGTGGTGCACATACATTCTGGTGCACACACAGACACATAACATTTTTTTTGTTGCTTTTTGGGTTTTTTTTTTTTTTTTTTTTTTTCTTTTCTGGAATTGAGGGCCGAACCCAGGACCTCGTGCTTGCTAGGCAAGTGCTCTACCACTGAGCTAAATCCCCAACCCTATTTTTTTTTTAAAGCATGCTAAAGGCTGGATATGATAGCACATGCCATTAATCCCAGTACATAAGAAATAGAGACAGAAGGATCCTTGTGAGTTCAAGGCCAATCTGGTTACATAGCAAGATCCAAGTCAATCAGGGCAGCATAGTGAGACTGTCTCACAAACAAACAAACAAAGTAAATGAATAACTATTCTAGGGAAGAGTCTGTCAGCCAGTAACAGACATTTCTCTCTTTGAAGTGGTTTTGTTTTTTCCTCATAGATACAAAGGTGCCAACCCAGAGTCTCTTAGAAAGCAATTCTCTGTAGATAGGAGAAAGGAATTGCTAATGATGACCCCCTCATACAAGGAATGACAGACAATGACCCTAGGAGATTCTAATTATATATCCCACCCCCAACCTCCACTGGGTGCTTGGAATTTTAAAGAGCTACTAGAAGCTTCCAGCATTTCATACTTCCTCCCCCAAAAAGCAGAGTCAGCTCTGGGAGGCATTTTGGGGATCAGGTCTCTGCAGCATCCCCACCCCAGGTCTGACAGGTGGCGAATGCTCTGGAAACAGCTAGAACAAACTCTGCTGGGAGACAGGCCACAAGGGAGGTGCAGCAGGAGTCTCTCTCCTGACAGACGGACAACTCCTCATCTGGTGCCAACATACATCTTGCTTCTGAGCCCCGCTCGCTGGCTTGAGTTAAGCGTGTCCAGCTCATGGTCGCCTACTTTCTCTTTCCTGTTGCTTTATCTCTTTCACGGAGGGAAATGTCCATCTAGAGATGCATCGCACCCATGTGGTGGTTATGTTCCCGTCACGGAGACGGCTCAGGAAGACAGAACGCAGCGGCTGGCTGGCTGGTCCCTCCCGTTCAGTCCCAGGAGCAGGGCTTATGCCCTTCCTTGGCTGCAGCGGGTACGCTGGGTGTGACAGTCCCAAGCTTGTTAGGATGGGGCTGGAAGCCACCACCACTCAGCTGAGACTGGTATGTACCAAAAGAACACTCAATCGCAACCACTTGCTCCAACTGGTTTAATTTTTTTTTTTTTTAAGACAGGGTTTCGCTGCGTAGCTCTGAATGGCTTTGAACTCACTAACTCACTACATACACTAGGCATGTAGACAGAGATCTGCTGGGATTAAAGGCACGCACCCCCATGCCTGGCAGTCCATTTTATTTTTCTGTCTCTTTAGCTCTGGCTTTTCTCCCACCAAGTCCTTCTCCGGAGAAGGCCAGGGAAATTAACACCCTTAAAGAGACTATCTGAATCCTTGCTTTCTCTCTCCTAGCTCCAAGTCAAGTGCTCACAGCTTAACTAATTTGGCCACCAGACACACCCAGCCAGCACATCAACCATCTGGAGGGGAAGCTAGGCCAGGGTTTGGCCAAGAGGCACATAGCTGAACAGTCAATGTTTAACTTGCAGCTTTGGGGCTGGAGATTTGGCTCCACAGCAGAGCGCGAGCCTGGCATGTGTGAACCCCTAGGCTCCATCTCCATGTCTAGAAAAAGAGACCCAAATGTCAACTTGTGTCTGTGTGCATTAACAGACAGTAGGTAGGTTAGGACGCGCCATGCAGCAATTTCTTCCTCTTTGTTCCGGATGGAATCTGACCATTTCCTTTTAGTTTGGGTGTGTGGTCTCTAACTGCTGCTGTTGTGTGTGTGTGTGTGTGTGTGTGTGTGTGTGTGTGTGTGTGTGTGTGTTTAATATGCCCTCTGATGAGCTTTACCTTGTGGGTGTAAGACAGGAAAGCAAACACAGAACGCGGAAGGTACTATTTCCAGCCTCACTCTGTCCAAGACCAAAGAAAGACCTTTGCTTTCTCACCCTCCAGAGCTTGGAGAGGTGGAGGTGTGGGAAAAGAGAGTCTGGGCTGCAGCCAGCCACACTTTAGAGCAGTTAGGAGAGCTCTCGAGGGCTCTCTGTTGGAAATGACATCTCAGAGATCTGGCTGCATCGCTGTGTCGGGCTAAAACAACCTGGGCGGGGAGGTGGCGACCTCTGCGCGTGAAAGCAGGAAAGGGCTTCTTGTGCGTGGAAGTCACCGGGACACATACCTGAGCCGGAATCACATAGTCCGCCACATCCCAGATCCGGAATCCAAGTTCAGAAGTGTTGGTCACAGCCACCCCTTTGGCCTTGGTTGTCACTGAGCTGACCACAGAGTCAGTTTCCTGGTAGCCCTTTTCCCACACAAACACCCACCTAAAAAAAAATACAGCAGGTGGTAGGAGTCAGTAAATTCAAACTGACACCAGGGAGTCTCCGAGAGCCCCCCCCCCCACGAAGTGTGGCATTAACTAATCATGTGACTTGCAAAAGCTGCTCAACTACTACACTCCAGTGTGTAAAATGGGCAGAGTAGCCCCACTGATTCTTTTCTGAGAACTAAACGATGTGGGTCGGCTAGCAGTCATCAGCGCACAGGGAAGGCCCAGCAAATGCTGTCGTGACTACTGGATGTTTGAGGAGGCTCAAGACACTGTGATCTATGGGAATCGCCAATAATAGGTTATTATAATAATAGCTTCCATTTGATTTCCATAGAGTAAGCCATTTAATTCACGAGGCACACGGCATTCTTTTTACCCACAATTTACAGAGATCGGAATAGAGACAAAGAGTGGTTAAGTCACATACCCAAGGCCATACAGCTAGCAAGTGGCAGACTAGGGGTTTGAACTCAAGCCAGAAGCCTTTGAAGCCTCTGATCTCTAGCCAAGAGAATCCTATCTTTTAGGCAACTTTGTCTCTAAGACTGGCTTTTACTACGCAACCCTGGATGGTCTGGTACGGGCTATGTAGCTCAGGCTGGGCTCCAATTCTGAGGGGACAATCCTTCCACTTCAGATTCCCAAGTGCTGGGATGATAGGTGTATGAGACACTACACCCAGCTGATGTGTGTGTGTGTGCGCGCACACGTGTGTATGCATGAGATATTGTGTTTGTGTGTGTAAGTGTGGGCTCACATGTTAAAGCCAGAGGATAACTTTTAGAAGTTGGTTTTCTCCATCATAGACTCTAGGGTCAGATTCAAGCTGTTATGCTTACATAGCAAGCATTTTGTTGTTGTTGTTGCTGTTTTCGAGACAGGGTTCTCTGTGTAGCCTTAGCTGTCCTGGAACTCACTCTGTAGACCAGGCTGGCCTCAAACTCAGAGATCCGCCTCCCTCTGCCTCCTGAAGGCTGGGATAAAGGTGTGCGCCCCCACACCCGGCTAGCATACACTTTTGGAGACTCAGTCTTGCTATGTAGCTCCAGCTGGTATTCAGTACGGAGCCCAGGCTGGCCTTGAACTTAAGATGATGGCCTGCCTCATCCTCCCAAGCATTATGATCACAGGCATGCACCATGTTCTGCTCAGGGAATTCACGTTTGTGTTCTTGTGTGTATGTTTGCATGTGAAGGCCAGAGGGCGGCCTCAGGGACCTTCCTCAGAAGACATCCATTTGGTTTGCTTTTGATACATGGTCTCACCATGGAGCCATGACTGACCTGAAACTTACTATGGAGACCAGGCTGGCCTTGAACTCAGAGATCTACCTGCCTCTGCCTCCTAAATGCTGGGATTAAGGATGTGTGTGCCACCCCCATGGCTGGCTCCCACCTCGTTTTTCTGAGACAGGATCTCACTGACCTGGGGCGAGATGATTAGGCTGGTCAGTGAGCTCCAGAGACCTACCCGAGTCTGCCTTCCCAGTGCCGGGATTACAATTATGTGATACTGCACCTAGTTCTGGGTCTCGAACTCTGGTCCTTGTGCATTGAGTACTTCACCTGCTATGTTCTCAGCCCCTCGGGGAAACTTTCTACAGTACTGTCTTACTTTTTCCTAGGAATTCGGGTCATCGAATTGTGCCTCTCCTTCTGAAGTAAGGGTGTTACTGCTGGGCTAAATAATTACAGATCTAAAGGCATCTGTGTGCTGGATACCGAACATGAACTGGAACGCTCAGTCGCTTTTCCTACCTTTCCCTTGGAACGAAAGCAGAATGCCACAGGATTGCGGAGAGATAAAATAATAAGGCCAGAGCAACGTCCTAAAGCACCACACAACAGTCAGAACCCTATCCCCAAGAGATGCTGTTAAATTTCCAGAGGGCACCAGTCTGCGGTCATTGCAACATCAAGAAATGCTAAGATCCATCTCTTTAGGAGACACCCCTCCTGACAAGACTTCAGTTCAGAAATTGGTGTTTTCCATTACTTTTTCATGCGTTTGTTTGATATGAACCATCACCAAATCCTCCGCCCATCCCAAATATGGGTTTCTCTCCCACCAAGTCCTCTTCTGCGGGGCTTCTAGGAACCCACTGGCACTAATGCTCCCTGTAATCCACTTTGACACAGAGCTTAGGGCAGACAGTCTAGGAGTTTTATGAGCCAGAACACTGAGTTGCTAAATTGAGGGGGGGGGGGGAGATATGGTATCATCATCACATGAATAAGATCACTGGGGATTCTGAGGTCAGTGTTATTTTGAGGAAAGATTTGCTTTATGGAGAAAGAGATTACACTTTCACCAAGATTAATGAAGTCAGGAAGCTAACAAAGAAGTTAAAAACCAGAATGTGATGAATCGTCTTTATAATCCCAGCACTCAGGAAGCTAAGGCATGAAGATCACTTGCAAATTCCTCTGCCAGCCTGGACTATGTAGCCAGTGAAAGGTTACCATGGGCTGCATAGTAAGGCCCTGTCTCAAACAAGGACAAAAGTTAAAACAAGCCCTGAATTTATATCCTAAGTTGATTTGGATCACAGTACGATGGGTGAGAGCAAAGCATTGTTTTTTGGTTTTTTGGTTGTTTTTTAAGAAATGATTGGGGCAGACATTACTATATAAGGAGACTCCATAACTATGCTGCCCAATAGAAATAGAAGACAGTAGGGATGGCGAAGAGCAGTTTAGTGGTAGGAGTCCATGATTAGACATACAGTGTAAGCCAGGTGTGGTGGTGCATGCCTTTACCTTTAGCATGTGAGAGGCAGAGCTCTATGAGTTCAAGACCAGCCTGAGTTACAGGCCAGATAGAGATCCTATCTCATAAGAAAAAAAAAAAGGCACAGGAAAAATTAATGACATATTTTTATGTGGTCCAATATGGATAAACTATTTTAACATCGTCAGTGTCCAAGGCATCAGCCTGGGAACTGGACACGGTAGTGTACATCTGTCATCCCAGCACTTGGGAGGGAGAGGCAGGTTTGGGAGCCCAAAGTCATCATCCTTGGCTGCAGAGTGAATAGGGTTACACGAGACCCTGTCTAACCTAAGTCCCCCAACCCCCTCCCCAAATAAAGGCTTGTGAGGTGGTTCAGCAGGTAGAGGTGATTTCTGAGCAAGCCCAAGACCCTGAGTGTCATCCGCAGAACGGCCCGTGGAAAGAAGAGAACTGACTCCCAAAAGTTGTCCTCTGACCTCATGGGCTATGGCATGTGTGTACCCACACTCATACACAGACACACACACCCCAATAAATAAAATCAACATTTAAACAAAGGATCCAGCCCAATAGCACAAGTTTGCCTCGTATGGGTAAGGCCTTCGGTTTGCTCTCCGGAAAAGGTACTGTTGTGATATTTTACTTTTTTAAAAAAATACAATATCTAAAATATTTTCAAAATCTAGCGTGCATTTTTCAGTTTGCGTGCGTTTTAATTTAGAAACAAGCTCGCGCAGTCAGTGGCTGCAGGTGGCCCTCTTATGATGACAAGAGCCACAGACCCCTTCATAGTACAGAACCTGAGCAGTGAACAGATGATCCCAGTGAAGCAAGAGCCGAGAGCCCAAAGCTCCATCAGCGCTCCAGATTCCAGCTGTTGCTAACCCAAGCTACTTAGTCAGCTAGCAGCATGTCTGGGCACTGAAGAGTCCATGGCGAACACTGGAACACCTTTCACAAGTTCAAACCTGGATATGGACAAGGTGTTCTTCAGGTACTGTGGCGGAATCCAAGGCCTCATGCATGCTAAACACACATCATATAAAAACTTTTCTGGAGACAGGGTCTCCTGTGGCCCAGACTGCCTTTCAACTCAACGTCCTCCGGTGTCAGCCTCCTGAATATTGGGGATGGCAGATGTATTCATTATGACCACACCAGGCTTCGGCAAGTTACCTCTAGTGCCTGCTGCTTCTGGGCTGACATATGTTGGAAAGGAAACCTGCAATCTTGTGAATTCCCTTAGGCAGTCTGAACAGATTCCAAAGCAGGAGACCTGTTGCTTTGTTATTTACTTTATTTTTGAGACAGGATCTCACTTTAGAGGTCTGGCTGTCCTGAAACTCACTATGCACACCAGGCCGGCCTCAAACTCACAGAGATCCACCTGCCTCTCCCTCCCCAGTGCTGGGATTAAAGGCTGTGCCTCGGGCATTCTTAACTACTGGGCTAGCTCTCCGCCACCTGTGTGCCTATTTTATTATATACCTGGGGTGGGGAAGTGTCCCAAAAATTTCTCAGCTGAGTATGGTCAGGCGCAGAAAGTTTAGCAAGCCCTGCTTTACGGTGCTATGCTATAAACGGAATCACCGGTCAGCTTGTGAACTGGCAATCAGTATTTTCCTAAGGCTTCCTAAATGGTTCCAAGGTGTAGATGAGGAATCCTTGCTGTAGGCCCTTTAGACGGAACCAGAAAGCCGATCCACCTGCCAGACCAGCAGCTGTTGAAGCTAGAAGACCTCGCAAGTGGGCCCACGAGGCAAGGTGACTCCCACCGGCTCTCCTGGGGTGTATTAAATTCTTACGGGTGCATTCAATTAAAATGAAACATTTAATAATACCTAGCGATGGCAGGGTGTATCTCAGCAGTCAACAGGGAGCAGAGGTTAGAATCCGAATAAGGCAGGTACCATATTGCAAACAACCCAACAACTCAAAGGAAACGACCTTAGGGCAATTTTGGGAAGCGTGACATCTCCAGGGCACTGGGTTATCAGGAGGTTCTCAGAGGACGGGAAACCACAGACCCAGAAAGTACCGAGAAGATCACAAGCCTTGGTTTTGTTGTTGTTGTTGTTCAGCAGATTTTGAAATGGAAACGAAGAGAGAAGACTGTGACCTTTAGAGCAAAGCCCTTCCTTGCCCAGTCCCTCCACCAAGTCAAAGGGCATCACGGAGCAAGTTGGCAGGTAAAAGGGCAAGAAAAGTGGGGTGGCAGTCTAGCCAAGGCTTAGCTCGCGGGACACCCCAGTGTCCCCCGTGTCCTGCACAAGCCGGTTCCAGGTGGCTAGAGCCCGGGGAGGGCGTGTCGCCGCCCCTTGGACTTGGGGTGGAGGTCCGGCTTAGCAGGTACCCCAGGCCCGGGGGAGGAGGGAGCTGGTGAGCCAGGGGCGCTGCCAAGTCCCGGCCGTCCGGGTACCCCCAGCCGCGGCCCCCAGCCCAGGCCCGCTCACCCGATGACGTAAGCCAGGATGAGCAGCTGCACCACGCGGTTCATGAGCCCCACTTTACGGCTGCGGATGAGCACGATGCGCGGCGTGTCGTACTCGAACAGGAAGGCCCCGAGCGCGGAGCAGCAGCCGGCCATGGCTCCGCGGGGTCGAGCACGCCGGGGTCGCCTCGTCGCCTCCTGCTGGGTCCCGGCCGCAGCCCCGCCCAGCAGCTCGGGCAGGCCCCGCGGCGGCGGCGGCGGCGGCGGCGACGCCCGGAAATAGGCGGCGCGCGGCCTGGGGTGCGCGTCTCCTCCCCGCCCTCCTAGCAACCCGAGGTCTCCAAGGGGGAGGCTCGAACCCGTGACCCCCTCAAGGCGCTAGAGTTTGCAGAGTTTGCAGACAGTGGCTTTGCCCCGCAGGGATGAATCACCCCTGGAGCGGGACAGGGGAGCACTGTCAACTTGAAAGTGACCAGGGTAATAACGCCCTCAGGCCTAGGCGGAGTGAAAGGCAGATAGATGGGTTCCTCCACCTTGCAAAGGGCTGCTCAGCGAGGATGCAGGATAATGAGCCACTCCCCTGGGGGAACTTAGGTCAGAGTCGCATTCCTAGAGGACCTGAGCGTGGAGGAGAATAGCTACCCCTGAGGGAGCCAAACTTGCTCCGGCTGTTAAGGAGGAAGCTTCGCCAAGCTGCTTTCTGAACCTGTAGGGTGGGGTGGGTAGTGAGGGGTGGGGTGTAAACATCTGGGGTCCTGGGATGTCTGTAGGAGTCAGCCACATGTGCCATCATATACCCGTCCTAGAATTGAAGTCGGGTCATGTCCCTGCCCCATAACTGTGGAAGTTTGCATCTGGGAGGAGGAAGCAGGCAGCCAGGACCAGGAAGATGTTCCTGTAGCCATCGGGCCATTGAGAATGTCTTATCACAGGCTTAGGGAGAACTGGAAAAAATATAGCCATTCCCTTCAGCCATGTTTTCATAGGTGTATGAAATTTTTAGTGTAACCAATGCAAGAAGTGTTAATGCGTACCTTCCTTATGCCAGGTGTCCAGTGAACATGGCCTTGTGCAGTGTAAATATGGCAGCTAATTTATACAAGCTTTCAGGTTCTAATCCTACTCAATGGTTCTTTTTGTTTCCCCGCTTGACATTTCCTTTTATTCCATGTGCATTAGCTTTCAGTCACTGTGATAGAAACCTGAGAGGAAACAAAAATCAAGAAAGACGTATCTGGGCTCACAGTTTCAGAGGTTTCCATGGTAGTCACTGGGCTCCGTGGATTTGTCTTGAGATGAGGCAAGACATTTTAGCAGAGAGGGCATGATTGGAGTAGACCTTCTCAGTCCATAGCAGCTGGGAACCAGATGTGGGAAGGCATGGGGACAAGATGTGTCTTTCCGGGACTAGCCCCCGATGAACGACTTATTTCAGTTAGGCTTCACCTTCTACTTCCTACAACCTCCCAATATTGTGATTGGCTGTTGGTGAGCTAGGTCCCTCAGCATGTTCCTGTCACCTCTCAGTGATGATGTCTACAGTTTGGGTAAGACTCTGTCAATACACAAATCGCAATGCCATATTACCACAGACTCGTGTTATCACCAAGTCGTAATCTGTGAACTGTTCTGAAAACATGACGGCCTGGCGTGGTGGCGCATGCCTAGACGGCCGGCACTCTGAAGGCAGAGCTGGGAGGATTGTTTAAAACCAGCCTGGTCTACATACCTAGTTCTAGTCCCACCTGGGCTAGTGAGTCAGATCATCTTTCCTTCTGTAGTCAGGGAGTAAGGTACTTGCTGCCAGATTTGACAACTGGAGTTCAATCCCTGGAACCCACATGGAGGAAGAAGAGAACAGACCCCCCCACAATTGTCTTTTGACCTCTCCACGTGCCACGGCGAATGCACACACTCCTTCCAATCAACTGTTAAACAAATTCTAAAACACAGCTGGGCAGTGGTGCCGAGCAGTGATGGCACTCGCCTTTAATCCCAGTACTCGGGAGGCAGAGCCAGGTGGATCTCTGTGAGTTCGAGGCCATCCTGGTCTACAGAGTGAGATCCAGGACAGGCTCCAAAACTACACAGAGAAACCCTGTCTCGGAAAAACAAACAAACAAATTCTAAAACACAAGAATAAATATAAGCGATGTGACTTTTCCTTAATTCCTCTTGTCTATTATCTGTGTCTCCCTGGCTTTTAGATCCCGGGTTTCTCACATGCAGGACAAACGCTCTGCTGCTGAGTTACATCCCCATTGCTTCTTATTTTGTCATACCTATTTGGTCTTTTTTAAAAATTTTTTTATTAATTTTGAAAGGATTTTTTAAAATTATAGGTACTTGTGTGAGTATGGAGTGTGTTATGAGCATGTGCAGGTAGGTGGTCATTGGATCCCTCGGAACTGGAGCTCTACTTGATGTGGGTGCTGGAAACCAAACTTGGGACCTCAGGAAGAGCGGTCCACACTCTTAACTGCTAAGCCACCTTCTCCAGCCCGTTATTATTATTGTTGTTGTTGTGCATGGTTGGGGTGTGGGGGGAGCTTTGTGCATGTGCATACAGATGAGGCCAGATGAGGATGTCCGATCCCTAGGAGCTGGAATGTTGTGAGTCACCTGACCTGAGCGCTGGAACTGAACTTTGGTCCTCCGCATGAGCAGTGCTGGATCAACCCCTGAGCCATCTCTTCAGCCCTATAAACAGTCTTCCTTAACAGAACGTCTTAGTTTATTTCCTGGCTGTGAGATTCCTGAGATATATGACCTTGATTTCTCAAACAACAAAATGTTAGCTGAGCGTGATGGTCCACACCTTTAATCCCAGCAGAGGCAGAGACCAGCCAGCCCAGTCTAAATAGCAAGTTCCAGGTTAGCCGAGGTCTCAGCAGACCCTGTTTAAAAAAGAAATTCAGTAAGAAAATCTGCATCTGCCTCTAGAGATAGAATGAAGTCAGGAGGAGGAATAGCCCAGGAAAAGGAAGTGGTGTGTGTGGGGTGGTCTTACTCACGTGATGGGTATCTGCTGAGGCCCGGCCTGCAGTGTTGTTGATGCTGGGGGGTGTGGGGGCTAGAGACAGGCCAGACAGAGCTCTGCTGAGATGCAGGCATTTGCAATTGGGAGGAAAGAATAGAAAGCCCATAGGCCTTTTGGATGTAACTTACAAATGCTTTTCCTGGAGAATGAAAGCACATGTCCAGCCCTGGTTAACACTACCCCACCGTAATGAGTTGGCCCAGCTTTAGGAAGTCCTGAATGTCCACAGTCTGCTCATGTTTTCTTGTTTTGTTTTGAGAGGGTTTCTCTGTGTAGCCCTGGCTGTCCTGGAACTTGCTCTGTAGACCAGGCTGGCCTCGAACTCACAGAGATCCGCCTGCCTCTGCTTCCCAAAGGCTGGGATTAAAGGCATGCACTACGCTGGTACGCTGCTCCTGTTTTCTATAAGAGCAGTTAAGAGCAGACCTAATCAGAGAAGCTGATTCTGAAAAATGATTAGGAAAAGAAAGTTTTGCATCTGTGTTCTTACCCTTAGTTGATCTCTCTTTCTGTAGACCAGGCTGGCCTTGAACTCAAAGAGATTCTCCTGACTATGGCTCCTGAGCGCTGCGACTAAAGGCATGCGCCACCGTTGCCCAGGTTTATTTGGTCTTTCTAAAACCAGCTTTAGGAGCTAGGGATGAACCCTGCGGAGGAGAGTGTGTTCCATGTGCACAAAACCCTGAGTTTGTCCCCAGTGTCATAAGGACAGATGTTACTGAGGGTGTATGTGTGTGCGTGTGTTTGCTTGACATGGTCTCAATGTAGCTGAGGTTGGCCTCAAATTTACCATCCAACCGCCTCAGCTCCTCAAGATACAAAGATACAGCACAGTCTGCGCCCAGCTCACATCTCAGATCTTAATCGAGTTCAGCTGCTTCCTGTGTCATGCGCTTGACTGAGTGTGGTTGGTATTGCGCAACCTGGGGACTTCGGTAAGGCTGTTGTTAAGTACAGGCGCCCACACAATCCAGTGAGGGAAGGGTAGGGCTTCCAAAAATGACGGGGAGCCACGTGCAAAAGAATGAAGCTGAACAACGGCCGCTGCCAGGTATAAATTGAGTTTGTCTAACAACTATAAAAGGCATAAATATCTGAGCTCAAATTACAGACCTCTTCAATAGAGTCCTAGGTACAGAACTTTGAACCTTGAATTAGGCAGTCATCTTTTTTTTTTTCCAGATTTAATTTAAACACAGAAAACAAAAGGAAGAAAGTATTTGTACTTTGTCACAATTTTAAGTTTTGTCCTTTAAAGAAGCAGGTCTGTATAAAGACCCCCCACAAAGTAGGGGAAGCGCTCACAAGTCACGTATCTCATAAAAGCCCAGAACCTGAAATATCTCAAGTACTGTTACTTAAAATGACAGCACAATATAGAAATAGGCAAAAGAAAAAACTGAATAAGCTTTTCTTTACCCAGGAATATATATATATATATATATATACATATATATATATATATATATATATATATATACCTGTAGTCTGAGCACTTGGAAAGTGGAGGCAGGAGGATTAGGAGGTCATCTTTGGCTATGTAGCAAGCTTGAGTCCAGGTAGAGTTACATGAGACCTCATCTCAGACCAAAATAGGGGGAGCACATTTTTTTGAAACTATGTAAATGGTTAGTAAAGATCTGAAAAGATACACAATGTGATTAGTTATTAGAGAGACAAAAACTTAGACTCAATATCACAAAATGAGATACCATTTCATTCACACTAGCAAGATTCATGACAAAGATAATCGGGCTGGAGAGTTGGCTCAGCAGCAGATAGGAACATTGGCCACTTTGATTCCCAAAGCTACATAAGCATCTGTAACTCCAGTCCCACTGTATCTGACATCCTCTTCCGACCTCAGTGGGCACCGGGCATGCATGTGGCACACACATATAAAGGCAAAGCATTCAAACACATAATAAAATTTAATTTAAAAAAATGGACAATAGCTGGGCAGTGTTGGCACATACCTTTAATCCCAGCACTCAGGAGCAGAGCCAGGCGGATCTCTGTGAGTTCAAGGCCAGCCTGGTCTACAGAGCAAGATCCAGGACAGCGAGGGTTACACAGAGAAACCTTGTCTCGAAAAACTACACACACATATATGGATCTATAGTGTTAAACAGAATTACCATGGGACCCAACAAATTCAGTCCTAAGTATGTATTTCAGAGACATTTTGTTGTTTTGAGACTAGAATTCACAGTGTAGCCT